CCCCCCCCCCCCCCCCCCCTTTAATTAAAAACCCCACACCTTCCGTCATTTCTGCATGGTTTGAGAACAGCCAGCTAAAATCCTGTTGAAAAGTTGAATGTTTCTGTATCAATGATTGTCCCTAAAAAACTGCCAAGTAACCAATAGTGTCCTAGACTCTCAACACAAGCTTAAAGTGAGGTCCACGTTTTATATCATCACATGGAAACTACTGGAATATACAGTGCATAAATGAAATGTGCTTCTGGGAGTACAGATTTCACGAAACAAATTTTCAAAAGAAAAAAAAAAAAAAAAAAGGATAAGAACTGTCTACTGTCGGAAGCAATTTTGAGGTGTTCGATATCAAATGCTTTCCGAAGACATTTGAAATGCATTCTCTTATATTTCATACCCTTAGAATGGGGCATTAGCATAAGCTAATCTTAAGCTCATGTATACAGCACCTTTTGCTGTTAATATATCTCGTCTGTTTCCAAAAAAAGGCATTTTATGTTACAGAAAACAATACTTATGTGGCGTTTACTGATACCATGGGGTCTTTCTGACCCAGCGAAGAGTGAATCCAGCATCTGTTCTGATCTTAATGGATGCTGCTTCAGCTTCTCTCACAGTTTCCTTCACAGACTGCATGAGATTCTGGGCATTATGAACCAACATCTCAGTTGCCTGTCAAGAAAAAGAAAAATTTCCAACGTATTAGTAAATACCATGTTCAGGACAGTAGCGTGGAAACCCATCATGCATGGGGACTCCCAGGGCAAGCATTAGGTCAGTCGATCGCTGACTTAAACCATGAAAAAGCAAATGAAACAACTCGTCTCTGGAAACTAGCAAGCGTTATCCTGACTCACAACAAGACCTTCCCATTTCTCACAGGATATTTGTGCAAAATCTGAATAAAAGCTTAGTGTCTCAAAGTAGAACAAGCTCTCCCAGAAGCCAAACCTGCAGGATTTCAGCTGAAAACATGCATTTGGAAGCTAACGGAACTGCAAGTACTCAAGATGTTGGAGAGTAAGTATTTTCACTATGATCCACCAGAGGGTGCCACTACTCCTCCAATGTCAAACCTGCTGTATTTGTAGAAGCAAGGTCTTTCGTTAGCTCGCTTTTTACTGTTAAGTCAAGGAGATCAAGAAGTTATTCACGTAAAAATTGGGACCAGAGGAGCTTTTTGGCTTGGGAAGGATTGATGTTCCTCTATCAAACTGTAGCTTTTCAGCCAGAAACCAAGGTGCTATACTAACATTATCTCCACTAAACAGCTGAGGTAAGCTTCCAAACATTCAGTTCCAGAGCACATCTGATATTACATGTTGTATATTTTTCTCCACAAAACTGATCAACAATTCCACACTACCATCGATTTTCAAACCTCTTACCTGTTCCGACTCTTCATCGCTGATATTAGTTCTGCCCAGCATGGTAGCTTTGACAGTGGAAAGAATTTTGAGTTGCGTACTGATGGTTGGGATTCGCTCACAGACCTAAGGAATGGGGATAAAAAACACTTCACGTTGTAAACTGAACCAATACGTTAGCTATTATTTTTTTCAGCTAAATTCTCTGATTTTGTTTTACTGTCAGATAAGGAATAAGCATAGAAGGGATCTCATAACCTCCAAGAATTTCTGACAAGTATTGGTAGGATACTTGAATCTTATTTTACTTGCTTTGGGAATTTTTGGGATGGAGCCAACATTTTTCCTTTCCTGCAGATATTCCTCAAGGGTCTGCTTGGTTAGGAATGGGATGATGTATATTTGGCTGAGACTGAAAAACTACAGAGTGTTATATTTCCGCTACTATTCATTGGTACAAAGGAACGAGTAGATGAAATACAAAGCAATGCAGGCTTAGGACAGACCAGTGCTCATAGCACAGTATTTTTCAAAACCTCTTTGGACACTAGCATCTTCCACTCACCTGTAAACAAAGCCTGACTTTAGAGAATATATGTGACCATGGGATCTAAAAACAGACATGGAACTTGACAGAACTTTACAAGCCACGGAAAGATACACGCGATTTACTGCCACAACTCCTGTGCTCGCTCACACTAAGGGAGGAACAGAGAAAAGAAAGTGTTTGAGGCATTTACAAGTTAACTCATTACCTGCAAGAGGTTTGTTCTAATGCGCTTGTCAGTGCACTGCTTTGCCACCTCTTTGGCCAATCGAGTGACTTCATCTGATGCCTTAGCAATATCCTTTGCACACTGAATAAGGGCACGCTTGTTTCCACTACCTCCTCTCACCAGGCGCGACATCTCTGCCATTAGCAGCGCCATTCGTTTAGCAGCAGCAATGATGTCATTACCCTGAAGAGAACAACATGAGTTAGTGTTCATGCCAGGACAGAAGCTTCACAGAAGTCACGACTGAACAGCAGTCTACATTTTGGTAGCAACCCTTTCAAGAAGTTACAGATGGAAGAACCATTTATGAACACAGAAGAGGTTTCTTCAAGGAACAGAGAAGATCTGCACTAATTATATGTTTCTGACATTTTTCTTCCTAACACTGAGGAAGAAAGTTCGCTTCAAAACTGGAAAAGAAGTGGTAAAGTGTTAGTTCGTCCATGGAACGAGAGTTACTGCTCTGCTGGCTAAGTTTTAAGATAAAGCATGTTATTAGCATTTGAAATTCCAGACTTCCCAAAAAGGCTTTTTTTTAAATTAGTGTGCTAAATAGCTTGTTAAACCAAACAGCACTAATTAAGTTAAATAGTGTTGTCATAACAGTTGAGCATAAAATTTTCAGTGGCATCTGAAACTGAAGTTGTTAAAGCATCAGCTATGCTGCTATAATGCTAAAAGATAAATGGAAGAGAATCTGTGACATAAACTTTTGTCACTGGTAACATGGAAGTGAGACGCAACTATTACTTTTTTTTTTTTTTTTTTTTTACGTTATTCCTTGAAAATAAGTCTTCCTTTTTGACAAAATCTCTCCCTTTAAAATAAAGTTTCCAGGAGAGAACAACTTGATAGTTCGAAAGATAACCTAGTGATATTTCTTACATTAAAATCCAGATTTCTCGTATTAAGTACATGAAAATTACAGTCACAGAAATACTTCTGAGAAATGTTTGAACCATGTGAATTAAGTATGACCAAGGCAAAACCATTTCTTATACACTGTTCCAGAGAGAAACCCAGTGCAAGGAAAAGCAGACCTAGATGAGCAATTGTTAGTAGCCTATTAGTATATTTAGATTCGCCTTTGTAGAAAGTTGTTAGACAGAAGTGAACTCTTTGGTGCCATGACGCATTCCTATTGTGTGGATGAAATATTAGCAGAGTGAGTGTAAGTATTAGCACACTCCTTCCTCAGCATAATTCCACAATTAATGACCAGTGAAGTCGGAGCAAAGAGTACACAGCGAGAACCCAACTTAGCAAATGTAATCTCTATCCCTGTGCACATACTTCCATGACTCACTACTAGCAAATTCAAGAAGATATCCCAGATATTTTACAGATACAGGTGACGCAAAAAGCTGAACTATTCGTTACTGTGACCTAATAGCTAAACAGTTTGCTAGCATAACCAGTTAGGATGCAAGTGACATAACACAAAGCTTTTCCATGTTTTCACGTAGGAAGATCAAGAAATTAGGACCAGTGTCATTTACGAAGCCCTCTAACAAGTTATCCAAGCATCAGAATCTGAAAAGGACAAGAACATTTTTTAAGCCCTTCTTATTAAAATAGTTTAGTATATCTGCGTAAATATAGACACACACATACATATACATACACGCACACCCCTAACCTTTGTTTGTTATGGGACACCAACCTTGTTTTTTGCAGCATGCTATAAAAAGTGACCAGTCTTGCAAACATTTGTGCTTAGACAGAAGAGACAGGCTAGTTGTGAATGTCTGAACCTCATGTTAGATTTCCGCTGGTTTCATGTAAACACAATCTCAATTCAGCAGCTAACAGCATTCAGTGCAGCTTCTTCATAAAAGAATTCTCTCAAGACCAGCATTTGCAATACAGCCAAGTGCAAGCCAGCAGACAGTCAGTCCTCTTCGATAAACACTGCCATACAAAGCCATTCCTTGTTGGAAGGTATTCTAATTGATGGCATCAATGGAGGCAAAGCACAATAGCCACGTTAAATGACTTCTTGAATTCTGTACACTCTGCTGTATCTGGAAGTCATTGCGAAACCATTAACCGTGGCTTCTCAGGTAGCCCAAATGAATGGAAAAAAGAACAGGGGGGAGGGAAGACAACCCCTACTACAATTTGAAAACTGCCATAACAAAGAAGAACAGGCAGATGCAAAGGGAGAGGAAGCCTTTAAATATTAATAAGTGACCCAAATCAAGCTTCAATCCAGCACTGACAAACAGATCTAGCAAAACTTGTGAAGCCACTCTCAGTCCTTAAAATGAAGTGCAGACACGCTTATTCATTCAGAACGGCGGGGCCCAGCAGGGATCAAGAGTGATGCAAATGTGTCAGCGTTCCAAATGGCTGGATGCACACGATCAGTCCCCGAGGAGACTCAGGAGTACCTTACTAGACCACTTGGTTGCTTCCCGATGTAGAGACTGAGCAGCAGCCAGAATGGGCTGGTTAACAGGCTGATTGGTTGGCATTAACAGCAGCTCAGGCTCGTAATCATCTTCAATGTCAGAGGGGAGAGTGAATTCAACATCTGCATCATCCTCCTCATCTATATCTACACCAGCCTCAGCCGCTTCATTAATCACAGTCACATCAGGCTTTGCAGGTGGCAGCAAGGGTGGAGAAACAGGGGACAGTTAGTACGAGAAGCAGAATTTGGTAGAAGAGCATGAACTGAGCCGTTTTAGCGACCAAATACATCCTCTTGGTCTCTCAGGATCTGACAAGACAGCTCTAGGATCAGGTCAGAGGGAGGAGGGGAAGGAATACAAGATTAGCAGAAGGAAACAAACATTTCACCTGTGAACCAAAGTTACCAAAAATACTAAGAAGTTACAATGCAAAGATGCAGCAACATTTTTCATCTGAGCACACAGCTTCCACAGACAGAGGCTGACTTGCAGAACAACATTTTTCTGGCAAGACAATGGTGAAATGAATGGAGTTTCTGTTTCAATGAAAGCCGTTTTGACTGCACAGAAGCAGGCACAGCAGCTGACAACTGTGGTATTTGTGCAGATAGAAAGCTTTGTATGGAAGCCTGTTCACATATATGTGATAAGAGATAGCAGCAGGATCACAGAAAAACCACTGACGCCGCTTGCTGGGGTGGGGGGAGGTGGGGGACACTGTAGAAGCGACTATTGAAGTACCACAGATAACATGAAAAAGAACAAAACCGGGTTATGAAAAGAGGAGGTGATACTGAATGTCATGAATGCTTTGAATAGTACAGTTCTTAAAAAAAGACTCTAATAGAATTAGTAGAATAAGAGGATCATGAAGCATATGATACTGTTTTGCCACAATATGTTGTATCCGTTACCTTCAAAAAAAAAAAAAAAGAGGATTCAAGCAAATATATTGTGTTAGGGTAGATCACAAGGAAGAGGTAAGTGGTATAACAATACAGGCATTTATAATACAGCAGCATTTCAATACAAAAATATTCTACAAGTTTACTAACTGTATTTCTTTGACTAAAGCCAAGTGTGATAAAAGTCAAACTACCCTTACCAAAAACTATGCATTTTCAACTGTGTTTCGCTTAAGATACAGCCTTTTATAGAAAAAACATCTACACCAAGGAAAACACACAGAAGTTTTGGAAGGAAGTTTTAACTTTTGTACACTGCCAGATCAACTCCTCTTCAAAGACAACTTCTATTTAAATCTTAATCTAAAGAAAAGTTTCCAAATACCGCTCATTCTCTGATTCATCCAAATGAGGGGGAAAGGCAGGGAAAGCTAAAGCAATTGACAGTGTTTGGTCTGTGCTCTGTGAGAAAAACGAAGTACATAAAAGCCCAGAATCCACTCAGTGAAGAGGAGTTTTTGTAAAGGAGAAAAAAAATCGATCTTAAATCTTACAAGAATGAAGAACGTTATCAAAATTTTTTTAAGACTAAGTTCTTGTCCCCCCCATCAGCGTAACACAGGGTAAAGTACCAGTAGACTGGTGCTTTACTTTGCCCAGTAATTGGACAAAAAAGCAGAAGACAGTTGACAAACAGACTATTGTGATTTAGTATGAGCAAGACCTTATATTTCTGTCTTTCCAGGTCTAACCCATATTCCTCAGTAGCGCTGTCCATCAATCCCTCTTCCACCCAATAAGTGACTTCGGAGACTACAAAAATGTTTTTGAACTTCTTCCCCAAAAACATACTGTCAGAATAACTGTACTCTTATTGCTAAAATGGGGCTGCTAAAAAAGAATTAGAAGGACAAATGCTAGGCTTACTGGTTTGTTGGTCTCAAATTAAAGAAACAGCAATAAAAATGGTGTTTTATGATCTAAATACACTAAGCTTAGACCTCTTTCATAATCAGCAAGGAGTTCTAAGGTCTGCTGCTTGGCTTTGATAAATGTTTTAACAGTTGCACTATTTAATTTAGAATGTATATAGTGTGTATATATAGGTAATTTAGTATGTACATAGTAAAAGCATTTTATTACTTACTGTGTATTGTTAGGTTACCCATTTTGGGATTCAAACATCAAAACACTTTTAGGAAGCTGAAATTAAGGCTTTTGGCCACAAAACTACCTTCTGAGATGACTACTACATTCCAGTACTATCCCTTTAGTAATATAAATCTGTATTTGGTATATCCAGAAGTATGGGGGAAAATAGAGCTTTTCATTTTATGGAAAAGACACTCAAACAGATTTGCAGGACTTCTTTTGTATTTTATCTGTACTTCCAAACTAGATGTTCCTTAAGCACAAAGCACCGAAGTTGATTCTGTAAGCTATTCAAGTTTATCTTCTCATTCACCATCTAATTTGGTGGAGAAAAAGAGTAGAGATCTTAAAAGGCAAATTCTGAGCTTTAATTTATACGTCCAGAAGCTTAAATCTCAGAAGCTTCCTCAGTTGCTGCCAGAGGAAAAATGTAGCTCTTTGGGGACAAAAAAGGGAAAGCAAAAAAGTTGTATTAGCATTTATAAAACTGATGAGGTCACACTGCTTTGTCATAGCACTGAAATGGTAAGGAAATGAAGGATTTTGGCCTTGATAGCGAGTGTGACTCAGTATGAAAAAGAATGAGACCAGGCCATCTATATATGGTCACTTTTCTGATCATAAATGCACCAGATTAACTGCAAAGTAACTTGCAGCTCCTTCCAGAATTAAGACAAACCAGCTCATGATTCCTGCAGCTGGCACCTGCAACATTCATACAGGCTTTTCAAAGTCACTTAAAAATAGCAATCAGCTTGTCAGCCTAGGAAGGCATAAAAGTATTAGTATGCTAGTATTACTAGCATCAAGGATCACAAACAGCTTAGCATACAAGGCACATTTGTGTTCACAGAGCTATGTTAATAAAGCATTCTAGCAATTCTGAGTATTAGAACAGTTGACCCTAGTTCACTCCAAACTTGAGAGGGTTTCAAATTCCTCCTACGGCAGTGTTTTTACTATTTGGTCTATAAAAGGCTATTCTCTGTCATTGAGGCAACTGACTTTGGATGAAATACACTGATCCTAAAAAAAAAATATATATATATATATATTTTTTTTTTTTTTTTTAAATAAATATTCCTTTTAGCCCAAGACACATATAACAACTTCTTACCTTGCTAGACCATTTCCGGGCTTCATCGTGCAACTGCCTAGCAGCCATCATCATGGGCTGATTAATAGCTTCTCCTGCTTTCTGCTCTGGGAACTCTTCATCCTTTTCTTCAGGTGGTGGTGGTCTGGGCGGGGGAACCTCACCTTCTGGAAGTGGTGGTTTTGGAGGGGCAAGCTCATCAGTCAGCTACGAAATGGAAAAAGCCTTATTCAGTGCAATGAAATAGTACAGATTGAGTAAAGGATGGTGTCATGGCAAGACACGATTGCATGAGCTCATGCCTTTTTCCAGTTTTTCAAGTGCTCCGTGTTAAGAGAAATACCATGTTTTAATCTCTTCTTTTGAAAGCTGTATTGGTTTTTTTTAGACTTAAGGCTACTTGTATGCATGGCTGGCCAGACAGTGCATTCTATTTCTAAGGAATAAAAATACACTCAAGTAATTTCAGTGTGCAATCCACACGTTGTCAGTGACAACTGTGTATTGTATTACAAACTATGCTGCACTTACATGAAGCTGCTCAAGGTCAGGAGGAGGAGGGGGAAAATCCGGTTCCTGAGGCTGGAAGGCTTCTCTGACTTTGGCCACAGCTCCCAGAATTCTGTATCCAGAATCCAAGAAACTCTTCTGCAAACCTGAACAAAAAAATCCATTACCAGTTTAACAGCATTCTGTAATACTTCGAACTGCCACACTACCCCAGAAAAATTACTTCTATAACATACTGTGCCGAGTATGCATATATATGTAAAAAAAAGATGTTTAAAAACTACCAAAATGTTTACCGTGGATTTACATGTTTGAAATGTTAGTGTCATACGCAACGTGCATAAAATAAAGCCTGGGCTGAGTAACAGTCACTATCAAGCCAAAGTAATTCCCAGAACAATTACAGAATAAGAGAAATTAGATAATATTTTCTTATATAAAGTAGTACTACTGACAAGTAGTGACAAATACTTCTTCTAATAAAGATTATGAAATCATGTAATAAACTAGAATGCTGAATCCTTTTCCCTTGAATATGCCAAAGGTCTTTGATTGCATTTTAAAAGAGCAGGATTCAGCAGTTAGTGATGTGACATTGATTTCACCATTCTGGGATTTAAGCGTACACAAAATCTGCATAAAAGGGGATACACAGCTGTACAAGACCAAATAAGCACTACTTCACATCATCTTCAGCCAGTAAAAAATATATTTGAAATCAGCTGACTGAATCCTTACCAGGATCAGAAATGTTTCCTGCCACAGCTTTAGCATCCATTACCATTGGCGATATAGTTTTGCTTAGCTCATCAGAGGCTGCTTTAACAGCCTCACGGAATTTAGGGTCTTCTGAATTTTCAACCTCCCGTTTTGCTACCAGTAAGATGCGGTTTGCTCGTCTAGCAATGCTGGTGGCACCAGCTACCAGCATCTGAGGTTGAATATTGGCCATCGCAACTTTACATTTATCAAGGTCTTTCTTAATAGCCTCTTCTGATGCGTCCAACAGAGATTTAGTATCAATGGCTTCATCCACCAAGCCTAGAACAAAAGTTAAACACATTAATACTCTAGTTTCATCTGTGCAAAGGGATATTTGGTATTCCAGAGACTCTTCACTACCAGAAAAGTAAGCATTTCCAAACTGGGGGGTGGGGAGGGGCGGAAGGGGGCATGGAAAGCAGACCAAGTGTATTACTGAAGTTCTGATTATGTGCTACATCTCTATCACAGTAACCGTGGTCAGGCTTGCTCCCACTAACGGCATCCCAAGCTCTTACTCAGCTGTATTGGTATGTTGCTTGAGTCAAGTATACAGTATATGTATACAGGCTTACACAGTATATGCAGCAGAGCTTCCTTCCTCCCACCAAATTTCTTTAAGCACATTCAGTACTTTTCGTACCTCTTCCATTCATTCAAAAGGAAATATCCCTCTGGCTGTGCTTTTACTTAAGGGTGATATCTAGTGACAAGGCAGTAAGATATAAAATACCCACAATTTAATTATGGCAATGGAGAAGGAGGTAGTATACAGTCAGGAGATCAGCAGACCAGTGTAAAGGATCTGCACTTTGGAAGGACTGAAACATTTAAGCGTCTCAGCAAGATTCAGTAGATCAGTAGCTTTGTTTTATTCACTGCTTTCATCAAGCTGTTACATCATTTTAAACGTGTCTTCTTGCCCCCACTTAATTATTTGTCCTCATTCAACATGCCAAGATTATGTAGAAAAAAACCCTCGAGTTGCTACAGTGATACATTGCTAGAATAGCAATCGCAATAAAAAATAACGGTATTCTGTTTTTCCCACAAAAGAACTAAAGCCAAATTTGCTCCCCTGCAGCTCAAAATTAACACCTATGAAGCAAGGTATTTTGTTTATGGTGTAACATATACCTATTTCTAGAGTCAGAGAGCACATTCCCACTTCTCTTAATTTATTTTTCAGTCATTACTCATATGCATGTTTCATTAGTCCAAACAGAGGGGGGGGGGGGGGGGGGGGGGGGAGGATCTATGCCAGCTAGTTAGCCACAAGTATAATCTTCAACAAAAATTCCTACTTTACCTGTCATTTTTTCTACATTATCAATCCACTGGTTTTTCATGGTCTCAAAATGTTCATAAGCGGCTTGATTTCCAGGATTTCTCAGGAGGATACGAGCAGCTGATACTACCTGCCAATGGAAAACATTTTTCATTATGGAAGTATCAGTATTTAATGACATCACACATATTCCTGAAAATACATTTGTTTTTCAGGACCAGATGTGTTGCTCCTCATTTGGAATACTAGTTCATTAATTCTAGTTCAACATCTAGCTGCTTGAAGATTTACAATGCTTCTGGAATTTGCTGACACAAATACTTTTTTCTGGAACTTCAATTACATGCTTTATATCAAAAAGTGTTTATTATTTAAAAACACTTCTTGAAAGCACTAAAGTATGTTCATTAAAGACCATTTTTTCCACTTACATATTTACTAAGCCTCAAAGTAATTTTGTTTCAAGGATAAGTCACTCACGCTTCTGTCCAAAAGCTGAAGAGTAAGACATGTCATTTAATCAGTTTGTTCTACTTGGTATCATATACCCAAATATTTGCCATTCCCCTTTTACATGTCAGCACTATGTTCCTTGCTGGTATTAACATCTGTCTCTGATAGCAGAGGCATAAAGAAAATTCCACAGAAGTTGTCCCCAGCCCTTTTAACAGCCCTTCGAGACTAAGGAAGCAAACCTGTGGGGTAAGTTCCCTTGCTGATTTCACTGTTGCTTGAATGCCCTCCACAGTAGTTTTATTTGCAGTTCCAACTGCAGCTGCTTTTTCTGCTGTGGCTCCCAGTCTAGCAGCGTGGTTTTCAAAGTTTGCTGCTCTTTCATCAAACACCTAGTTGTCAGAAGAGAAAAAACACATTAAAAAAGCCTAACTTCCCTAAAGAATACATAATTTCTTCAAAGCGTGAAATACCAGACACCTTCATAACATCCACACTTAATGCATCTCCTGAGAGGATGCAACAGGACACAAAAGCTTTGAAGCTATTTAATTTTTTTAATTTTTACATTACTGGACTTTCGTTCTTTACTAACTCATCTGGGTAACAAAGGATACGACCAGACTTTATAGCTTTGAGGTATCAAGTACACTAATTCCTGATGACCACTGCTGTAACAAATACTGTCTTAAAACTATTTTAGCTCATAGACATTAATCTTCAAACCCATAATCCAAAAGTAACTATATTTGGAAGATAAATATGGGGTGTTACCCTAAAAATTGAAGCTTCACATTGGGGAAAAAATCCCTCCTTCCACAGTCCTTAGTTATTCAAGGCACAGAATACTTTGACAAAAAGCTATCCTGTCATAAAGCTAAATTCCCCAAGGCCTTGGGAATCATGTTGATCATGTTCAAATCAACCAGCCGAACAGAGCTGCCAGCCACAGAGTTTTAGATGTTTCACATGCAGGCAGTAGCTTTAAAGTACAGGAAACGTTATACAGCAAGAGAACAGGTTAAATCTGTTGATCAATCTTGGCATGCATTTGACTATTTTAATCAGCTTAATGTTGAGATATACAGTCCACTAAGTAGTCTGTCAGTGATTTTTGCACAAGAATTTTTAGCATGCTGAAGGCAACATGGTACAAACATCACAGGGGAAAATCTTTGCCATTTACTGAAGTCAGGGACAATACAGTTTCCAGGCATATACAGAAGAATTTGCAATCTCCAAGAGTCCAGAGAAATTTGCATGACAATCACTGTGCTGTCAGAATTAATAAGCATGTATCACAAGCTTGAGGAGAAAAAAAATACTGATTCATTTTTCAAAATACCAATTCAGGTTAAATTAAACAATAACTGAAGCTTCACATGGGAAAAAGACCACCTGGGTATACTTGCCTCATCTCTATTGGGAGCATCAGAAGGAGCAGTGGCTGCTACCGCTAACAATTTAATAGGAGTTGTGGTGTCACTAAAAACATCAGAAACCTCTTGGGTCATTGCCTCTTGCATCCGAGTTTTAAGATCCTTTGGGAAAGAAAAAAAAAAAGGAAAATTATTAGCACATGATACAGGAATATTAAGTTTCTAGGGATTCAAATCCATAAACCCTC